GAATGTCGAAACAGCGCTGTCTGGTGCTTTTCCAGACGTGTCAACGCCTGCTGATTGAAAGCGGACCGTGACGAACTATTTCTTAGGAATAAAATTGTCAGATCGAGTAGTTGGGGGACAGAAAGAAGATGAGTGCAGTAACAATACCCACTTAGTAATGGTAAGCCAAAGCCCATCTAGTCGCTCATATGGCCAAGCTCAAGGTTATCATACAGGATGGTGACAAACGTTAGCCGTACACACTTAGTGCTTCGTCAAAGACTGACCACATCGAGGTTTCAGCCTACTAGAAGGTTTTAACAAAAAATACACACTTGGGCAACCGAATTGTGAGCACGCGAAGCACACCGGAAGCGATCCGTATTCAGAAGGCACGATAAAGTATGCATATCAACTGAGGACCCCTCAAGGGCCGTACAGGTTGCATTCCTCATGAGGGCCGCATACGACGAATAACTGGAGACTGCATACACATAAGGTTTGGGTATGATATGCGCGGACTGCGGTCGTGATGTAAAGAGCCGCCAGTTTGGCATATCTGCCGCAATGATCACTGGTACAAGGAACCAGGTTGTCACCCAGGACGCCGCTGTATAGACCAAATATTTACTCGGAGTCCGTTGTTAAAGCAGCGTCATACGTACCGCAGGCCGACAATAGCTATGTTCCTCGACTTTAAGGATGCGTTCGATGTAGTCAATCGATGCATGCTGTTCGAAATACTAGTGCGGAAAAAGTGTCCCCATAAAATATGTGAACAATTTACGTGCTTTGAATTAGAGCACGACAGGCCGCGTTAGGGTCTACTGTGATTTGTCAGATGCCTTAATGACAACAAGTGGTGTTCGTCTGGGACTGTCCAATTTCCCTATTTTTGTTCGACTTAGTCGAGGACTCCATCATTCAATCACACGAGGTAGGCGTTGAGGCGCTACCTGGCGGAAAGCTAGTTGATCTTGATTATGCGGAACGATATTGTCCTGATTTTTAAAGATGTTGGGGCGGCGCAATCAACCCTGAATAATCTCTCGAGAGTAGTCCCATCAGTTGACATGTGCTCCGCAGTTTCAAGGTGCAGCGTTGTTACAAGACCACAAGCCACTTGATGACCCCTTGATCCTTGATGGCGAGGAACTCGAAGTAGTTAATCACTGAAGCTTCCTCAGCTGTTGCATCAGTAACCATAAGTGCATAATGACTGAAGTCGGTTTATGCATTGCAAAAGCTAGAAGTGTCTTATGAAGCTGCGACATCTGTGACGTCAGAAAGGGGTTTCCCTCGATCAGAAAGGTTGCATTTACAAGGCCACACTGAGGGCCGTCCTACTCTTTGGGAGTGAGACTTAGCTCCTTAGATCTGGGGAACTATGGCGCTTTCAAGTTCGTGATCATGGTTGCCTGCGAAGCATTACTGGTGTCGGATGGCACCAGCATGTCCGCAGCGATGATGTGCGTAGGCGAGTACTGGGCAGTGATAATCATGCTAGTTCCTTAAAACAGGTGACAGCACTGAATAAGTTGTGTTGACTTGAACACGTACTATGTACGCTTGATCACCGCTTTCGGAGGAGAGTTTTGTCTTGTCTGTTAGATGTAGGGTGGTGCAAGACTCCAAGTGGGCAAAAGCTAACTTGGCAGCGGGAAATGAGGTCACTCGCGACCAAATTTGGTGCAGTTGGTCCGTCTCGCCTTCCTTGCTTGAGTCCACGTGACCCGCCTTGTGTTTGGCTCGAGACGCTGCAGGACATGGTTCGGAGTAGGCAACAGTGACTCGTTTGTTGTCTTCTCGTAGTCGGACTGCTTGTTTAGTATTTTTGATACTGGGGTATCTGCAGAACTATGGTTGTATGATGCGGGGTAGTGAAAGCAGCAAGGAAGCTGTCTCACCGATGCCTGCTTATCTTTGTACGACAGTCAGCTGTTTGTGATGGTATGTTGTTGACACAAGGTGTAGGCGTGTCGATCCGAATTGTTTGTTTAGGGCATTAATGATTTACGCTAGGTCACCCTTCTCTGCCTCTTATTGTGCTCCCTTCTGTAAGTCACCGTGGTTGTACGGCAATAAACCATCAGTTCCAATGGCTGAGGTACTGCTGTTGATGGTGTTGCATGACTCACTAGCTGCGAACTTTATCAGCCACGTGTCGCACCGTTTCCCTAGTGAATCGATGTCTTCTTAAACCAGAAACATTGTGCTCTGGAGTTCGTCTCGTCGAAATTTATAAACTATGTTAATGTCATGGCGAAGAGAAACGGTCTGCCATGTTTAATGGACATCATGATATCGTTAATATAGAGTTCCGCGTAGGGGTGGGCGTCCTCGCGGTATACTCAGCCCGCGCGCGACTGGTGGTGGTTGTGCGGCAGCGAAGCGCCGTTATGGCGTACAGCTGACACATTATTATTATTATAATATAGAGTAGGGGAAAGGAAGAACCAAGTACGCTCCCTTGGATGACATCACTGGTGATTAGACGTGGGAAAGAGTAATGGTCACTCAGAATAACTATCTGGGTCTCTGCTCCCGAATGACTGGACCTTTATTCAGTAGCCGCTTGTGAGGCACCGGTCGAAATCTTTTGGAACCTGAGAGAGGAAAAACATGGCGAAGCGAACAGTGATACATATCAGCGTATTCAGCAACGCTTGTGTAGCAGCCGAGTCTAATCCAAAGTGAACCATATTGCCCGCATACTTCTAGTTCGATAGTCTGCCAGAGAACATAGCCTAGACCTAAGAAGACGTCAGTAAACGTTTGTCGAAATCGGCTTTATGCACCTGGGTAGGAACGATGTCGCCATTTTGCATGAGCACTGTGGGTGTACTGAGGCATAACATTGATCCGAAATAACAATCAAAAGGTTAAAAGAATAAGGTGCGTGTAGGTCACTTAAGTTTACGTTCAGGCGCGGTATTAGTAAAAAGAAACGTGGATAAATGCGGGTGAGATGGAGCTTTGGTAATATATGGTGCGGAAACAAAACCTTGAAATTGAAACGCGTAGACGAGCAGGAGAGAGCTTTAGATAAATCATGTTGCACGGGGTGAATAGAATGAGTGTCAAATGCATCAAAATGCTTTGTAATGATTACATCAACCAGAAACACTTTGGGTAATCCAATCTACCTGGAAATGAACTTAATGGGACGCGAAATCAGTAGGAAGCGTGCTTTTACAAGACCAAGAAAAGTGATAGGTGAGCAATGTAGCCGGAGAGGAAGAATACAAGCAAACACGAATGTATCAATTAAAGAGCACGGTACTGAAAGTACTTTGAGATTCAGGGGACGAAATATTAATTTTCTCACACTGTGGAACATTTCGTCAAAGTATGATAGATGGGACAAAAATACCCCAAAGTGCTTAACAGTGGATGATCTGGGTATGATGTGGTTGATCATGACTATGGGGCGAGAAGCATTTGTCAAAGTTAAGAGTTTGTTAGTGCGAAAGACGTTGAGAATAAGGGATCGAAAAGACCACCGATGAAGCTCATCAAAATCTCTTTGGGGAGCTATTAATGACTCAGCAGCATCGTCAGCATACATCGTCATACATCGTCAGCATACTTACAATGAATAAAGTTGGGGGGAATTGGAAGCATGTTGATGTCTATAGGCAATAGAAGGAGGAACGGTTGCTCGTTGTAAAACGCCTTCCTCATCACGAAGAGTGGAGGATTTATTACTATGCAGCTGGGTGAAATAGGAGTGAAGTACGAAATAGTTGCGCAACAGGCTGCACACTGCTGGTTGAACACCATTCGCAGACATTTAATTAAGCATGACTCACCAACGAAAATAATAAAAGCGTCGAAATAATCAGGGAAGGGAAGCCGCACAGTCTTGCTTTTCACATCCAATGCAGTTACTGAGTGGACAAAATAAGTATCCAACGTGGAAGGTCAGGGTTCGTAAGTAAACTGTGATACGTTTACGGCCGGAGGCACAAGTAGTTGTTTTAGGGCTTTTAGTATGACGGACGTGGTGAATGGACAGAATTTCTGGGATTCCTTCTTCAGCACAGGAGGTATGCCGACAGATCTCCGAATTCCGGGAATAGTGCCGCCATGCAGGAAATGCTTGGAAAGAGTTGTCAGAGGCACGGTGACAGTACCGACACATGCTTCAAGAAGAATGGTGAGACAGTATCGGACCCATTAGCCTTCCTTGAGTTCAACTACCTGAGTTCTAGGTAAATTTCAGTGTTGGAAGGTAATTTTTGGGCTATGTTGGTCAATGGTTAGAGGCCAGAAAACACTGTCTCCTGGTCCTCCATGTTGGGGGTTGGAATGAGGGTGGTAGGTTGCTTTGTCCCTCACCCTCCAACCACAATCGTGTTTATTAGGCATAATATGATTCTTTTTTGCTGCACAATAGCCGGCTGGTAGCTCTCCGGAACTATGCCCATCTGTTACTGGTGGCTCAGCTGGTGTGCCTCTATCGTGGGTTTTCTATTATATTGCGGCTCAACAGCTCAGGTATCTTCCACCTAAAGCGAACGTGTATAATGATGATGATGTTGGGCCAGAACAAGAGAATGAAGGCGAGGAGAATGTTTTCTGTGGTGAACAACATAATTCAGAATTGAGTTTCACCGCATCCAGAGAACCAAGCTGCTTACCGGAGCTTTTATCCAGAGGTGATCTGAAGATGGACGTGGTTTATGATTAAAAAGAGGCAGAAGAGCACTCACCGCCTCGTGTGCGTATAGTATTGACACGTTGATGAATGGGAAGTAGTCCGAAGAGGGAAACAATATGCAAAACACAAGCAAAAGCCCATTGGACAGGGACCAATATAAACACCAATATAAACACAACATTCTGGTGGATTTAGCAGATAGTGCAAATTAATGAGGAAACTAATTCTGATGCGTGTGGGAGAGAGGGAAAGGTATCGTAATACGGGATTATTGGGCAATGCAGTAGTTGCACACTGGTCAAATGAAGAAAATTCATCAATGCACATCCCTTGGATCCTATAAAAAATTTAAACTTACAACGAATCCGACAGCTACCAGAGGAGCACTTTCCTTGTAATGGTAGACGAAGAAACCTCCGTATACATTATTATTCTAAATTTGCAAAAAATAAAGAAACAATTAGCTAGATCTCAAATGAGATGAACAAACAACTGTGAAGACGGTGAGAGGCAGATAAATATGTGAATGAAAGAGACTCGGTTGTTACACAGAATATAATGATAGTAATGTTACACAATGCAACGTAATCATAAAAGTAATAAATAGAATTCTGTTAATTAAAAGATGCCACAGAGATCAACAATGATGTGTTATGAATATGCGTATAATAAATAATATGAAAACTAACGGGTTTACATAAACATAGACTAGTCTACCTACGAGATGAACTGACAATTCAGACAGATTAACAAATGCTTATCTGATTGGCAACGATCGCTTGCCGTAGGATAAGACCTATGAAGAACTGCCCCAAATGATAACCTACGGTGGAGCAGGCTGTGGGAATGTATGCCTCGTGTCCAAGATGGAATAGAGAGGAAAACCAAAGAAAGCAGAGAGGTGCAACATATCGAGGAATGGAATTACGAACAGATCGTTTGCTACAACTTACCAGTGGCCAGCCGACACCGTGTTCAACCAACCCAGGTTTCCAGTTAGATTCACGCACCTCCCATAGTTCTTTGAAACCAATCCCGTAAGTTTGGTGCTCACTGTCATTGTTGAGACCATAAATTTTCATAACCTGAGAAAGCCAATGAAGAAACTGAGCATTACCTGTTTAGTTAGATGGCCGCGGCAACCTTCCGCGAAAACGACCTGCTTCGTTTTAAACTCCATACCACGCTGAAAAGAGTCTTTCGGGCTCCCATCTTTATGAATTCCCACATCGTTGGTAGCAACACCCACAATACCGCCACAGCTATCGAACAATACCTAAGGTACAAAGGATAAATGGCTTGCAGAGAATAAAAACCTCGGAAGCTGCAGTTCCAGGGTAAACTTCAACTCCCAACTCTTCGGCTTGCTCTCCTAACCATTTTACCAGGTGTCCAAGACGCACGATATAGTTGCCATGATTACCCAATGGTAAACCTGGAATCAGAGGGACCCGAAGTTTTGAATTCTTCGTCAACAAGTAGAAAGATTCTCCGGTAACCTTGGTTCTCAAAGGTGCCTTAAGTGATGACAGGAAAGAGTGAAGCAAAAATGGCTACCCCACGGTCCTCCCAATCAGGAAACAGTTCGGTAAGGGCAGATGGTTCAATACACGCACCGGAAAGAGTGTGTCCGCCTAACCTCTAAGAACAGGTATGTTGTAAAAATTACCTATGTAAGGTGCCTTTTCTAGAACAACCACTCTTAAATCATTGCGATGTGCAGCGGAGAGCTGTTTTAGTTTGCAAGCAGTGGCCAGCCCGCTCGGTCCAGCCCCAACAATAACGATGTCAGCCTCTTCTGAAACGCGGGATAGATCGATGTCTGACCACCTGGGGTCATTTTCGCGACGATGAATGCTGTAATGTGTTGTTGTGGCGTAAGTTCTAGCACTCAGGAGGGACCTCGTTCGACAAGCCGACAGCAGAAAACGAGGCATACTTAGCCAACGCAGCCGCAAAAGATGCTACGTGGTAAGCTGAAAGAGAAAAATAATATGCAGTATATGCGTACGAATTGGCCATACAAAAATTCTAGTCACTAAGTGGTCCAGAAACGGCTTACAAACAACCTGTAAAGGTAACGCAGCAAAAAGTAGGAAGGAATCCTGGCTAACAAATCTAATCAAACTGTGTTGTTCCTGACATCACATTTTCCCTATAGAAGGGGTTTCTGCATCCGCTTGGTGATAAATACAAAAACCCTACACTTACCTACCAATTGGGATAAAAAAATCCTCTGACCAGAGCATTCCCGAGTCGAGATGCTGAGTCGCCAATAGCGAGCATCCACGACCCGATTTTCATTCTCAGTGGCACTAAACTGTGGCGTCCTCCAATATACCAAACAACACTGGATTCCCAAGTAAGAAGTAATGCATACGTTGATATAAGCGCGAAAGAGCCTCGTTGACAAGTCGGTTATAAACAAATTGTGTGCATCTTCAGTACACATATGGTTACGACCGATTCCCATATTCCGCAATGAGAAGGTGAGCGATAGGACGAAAATGAATATTTCGGTAAATAGACTCTCGTGAACCATTTGCAGCGCTCTCCATACTAAACACCAGAGATTCAGAAAAACCTATTGTGCTCGGACGAGAGTGTATACCAAATCATGACTAAGTTGTGTATAATCGTACAGCGACTTCGTAAGGCTCGGATGCACGATAGTGTATATGAAGTAAAACCGACTAACCAGAAATGATGAAGGTATAGGGGCAGGTACTAAGGAGCAAAACAACAACGGCGGGGAAATCCGAAAATGAAAAACAGTCATATAGGTCTTTTGGTAAACGTTAGAAAATTTTGATGGTTTTCCTAACCCTTTCCAGTTAACATATAGTGAAATCGCTCGGTCGCTCTAAACTCAGATTCGCTACCCTTAGGAAAAAGTCGGAAGAAGACGAATAAATAGGCGAGATATAACTTTATTATCGAAAAGTACAACACTGCTAGTGTAAGGAAAACCTAATGCCCTAAACAAACATTCAGGATCAAGGCGCCTACACCTTGGGTCAGTAACATACCAGTACCAACAAATGGCTAACGTGCAAAGGTAAGGCGGCATCAGCGAAACATCGAGACAAGACTGGACCTTAACGTGGTGCGATGGTTTGTGTGTTTCAATGATCCATTGAGCTGTACTGGGTGGTGCCTTTTGTACTTTCTGAGTCAATCATACCATATTGGTCAATGGTTGGAGGCCAGAAGAACTCAGTCTCCTACTGCTCCTAGTTGGGAGGTGGAGTGAGGGTGGCACCTCAGTCCTGAAAACGGATTCCTTGTAGCCCACTGCCAAATCCGCTGCCATGCGGTCAGGTTTATGAACCAAAGGCTTTGGTTGAAAATCCTAATCGTGCTTCTGTCCAGGTCTGGGCAACCTGACAGTATCCTGCCAACGCAATAAAACACTGAGTTTTCCTTCAAACAACCTCTTGACGTCCAGGAAGTCGCAGAGGATAATTAACGGAGCGCTATCAGCTGCATCCAGCAAGGTGAATAGGGGGTTGGATGCTATCACCCAAACCTTCCCCATCAAATAACAACAGCATCACATCAGCCATTTGAACTGACGCTGGCAGCGAAGCATCAGTACAAATAGCTGATGTACTGTTGATGATGACCAAAGCAGACGCCTGCCGCATCTGATGAACGCCGGCTTACCGAGTACCCCTCATGTGATCTCAGCGATGTTGCCATAGATTCACTTCACCTCTCACTGTGGAGACTGTTCACTCACACTGTGCAACCCGTCCAGACACTCTCTCACACCTCAGACGTATCCTCCGCCCGTCCCAGAAGCACGCACCTCCATGTTCCTCCCACTCCCTGTTTGACTGAGCTAAGCCACTCTAAGAGCCTAACCCATCACATCTCTCATACGCTGTATAGCGAAGCAATGAGCAAAGGATTAGCGGACCTAATAAAAAAGTCGTAGTCCGATCGTGGCCTCTGCATTGTGTGAAAACCGGTTGTTTCGAAACTGCCCTGGCATTGTTCATCTGCTATATCGTGCTCAGTTTCATTGGCTTCTGCTACTATTTTATTCACACGCCATTTGTTCATTTGTTACTAAGCACTCTTCCGATATCAGCTGATTCTCGTTTACACGATTCTACTCCCAATGGTTTCGCCGACGCACATAGAGCTCTCCAGTAGCTCTCCTTCGGAATGGATCCACGTTCTATCCTGCATGGTTCAAGGAATGCACACTCATGCAGATCGGGCGCACAGGTCTTGCGAGCACCTTAGAACCATTCTGTAGAGGAAAAGTACCCAACAAACGGGCTAATGAAAAGCTCAGTCAGCTATGTAAACAGTTAATCCAGTGTCCAGTTAATTCTAAGTGTCAGAAACTGGCCGCGTGCCTCGACAAGAACGTAATCAGAGTCAGTAATGACTTCGCTTGCCAGACACCGAGCAACAACACCGGACAATCACGCAGAACGCACGCGCAAAGAGCCGAACGAAATTCCAGGAATTATTGTATCGATTCAGATAAGTAAAATAACTGTACAGCAGTTAATGGAATATGAAACAAGAAAGTACATTCGAAAAATGCGAAGTTTACAAGCGCCGCAGAACCCCCCCCCCTAGAGCGTGAGTCACGAGAATGAACGCTCGATACGTGCTATCTGAAGTGATTAGCTAGAAGGAAGAATAAATTCACGTCCAAAACGTATGCGCTTTTGTGTGTCTGAAGTGCGACAGGTGGGGTTAGGGAGGATAGGGAGCACTGGATTCACACATCGGTTGGGTGGGTGGGGTTCTTTGCAGCAGAAGTGTGGGGAGTCCGTTGCGGCGACTGAGATCCAACGTACGCTGGTTTAAAGCGATCAATGCTGACAGAATCTTTAGAACTATTACAGTCTAATACAAAATACTTCTCTACGAGCGATAATTTTGAAAGGGCCTTCGTAAGACGGTGTCAAAGTTTGCGAACTGCATCGACGCGCACGAGAACGAAGGGGCACGTGTGCAAGTCAGGGTGAACGTGTTGATTTCGAGAAGTGAATCGTGGTGGCGTTAGACGAATGGCGCTGAAGTGTAGTTTCGGTTCTGGGACATACGAAGTAGGATCAACTTCGCTGGTGACCCTGAAATCCAGTACTAATTCTCCAGGAAGTCTGAGAGTCGTACCAAAGACTAATTCTGCGGGACAACAACCGAGGTCTTCCTTCACAGTATTGCGGATACCGAGGAGAATAATCGGTAAACGCTCGGAACACTGGATATTCCAATGCGTCGTAGTGAGTGAGGACTTGAGTTGGTGGTGAAAACGCTCCACTAAACCCTTAGCAGCTGGGTGATATGCTGTCGTGCGTAGATGAGAACAGCCAA